CAAAAAAGTGGTCAGTAGCTAAAGTTTCCAGCTGGTTTCGCCTCTAGTTGTGGGAAAATTCATTGGTAGGGTAAGGTCATGATTGTTATTATTTCCTTTGATTAAATTTCGATTCTAGCTAGTGAAGCTTTATTCGATATTAGGGCCATGTATGCCTAGCTTTAGCACCCTGAAACTGACTTGAAAGTTCATTATATTCACATTCAATCTAACTTCAATTATTAGTTACAAGATTATCACTCATAAAGATAAAAAGAAAAAAAAGTAAAAGAAAAATATTCGTGGCTCCCCCACCCTTCTTCTCTTTTTATTTTGAAATAAAGTTTGATTGACTATCAGGTCTTTTTATAAAGAGAGAAAGATATAGGGAAAACAAGCTTTTTATTTTATTAATTTTTCTTTATTATAATTTGAAAAACATACAAGATTGGATTTTATAATTATTTTAATAATATGTTGGAAACTGCGAGATTAAGTGTCCAATGTGCTCCTTGAATCTCTTTTTTTCTTGAAGTTCATGCATAATTTGATCATCTAATCCATGTCCTCAGAGATAATGATTCAGATTTGTTTGTTGTGTAAAATATGTTTAGAATTTAATTTTTTTTAAAATTAAAACTGATATTTTAAATAGAAAATTACTAAAAAAAACCATTATTAGGTTCACTTCAATCCTAAAATTAGGTTACATATTCTCAATCTAAATTCTTTACTAAAAAGACCACTACATTAAAGCGTCTATATAATGATACTCTATATCATAATCAACTTGATATAGTCATAAAAAATTTTAATCCTAATCTGAGATAGTTATAAATAAGAATAAACTTCATATTGTTATATGTTACAACTTTTCTAATTTCCGTTTTAAGTAAAGCTATTTATACATAATGATAATTAGTTTTAAGTAAAGCTATTTATACATAATGATAATTATCTGTATATTATAAAAAAATATTTTATATTATATTAAAAGTTTAAGATAAAATAAAATAATTATCTAAAATTGTTTGAGGCAATAATTTATGTTTTAGAATTATTACTATATATTTTAATTTGAGAATACGTAATAACTCGTTAACATGACACTTCCGTATTGAAACCAAAATATTTTTAACTTATCAGTTAGAGTTTTACTATTTCGAGAATTTGGCCACTACTTTACGTTACCTTTGCCGACTTTGTGGGTCACTGACCTAGTTAGTAAATACGCATTTAATTTGCGTATAAAACGCGTATCCACATATTTTCCAAAGAGCTGCCGAATTATTGGCGAATAATTGAAATTGACATCTTTTTCCCATCCATTTCACACTCCCGCCCATTTCACACTGATTTAACCACTGACATCCATTTGTTTTATTGGAAAAGGAGAATAAAAATATAAAATAATCCTCTCAAAAATTCAAAACTCAAAATCACTTACTTCATTCATTTTTCCGCTCACACCTTTACGTTTTAAACTCAAAACACATACAAAATCATTTCATATTCTTTTGATTATGTTCATGTTATCTAATAAATTAGATTGGATTGATGATATTAAAATAATAATTTATTATGAAAAAAAAGTCATATATTATAAGTATAAAATAAGATTTGTGAGACAAAATTTTATTTTTTGATGGATTAATGGGAAGTTAAAATTTGTTGCATTTAATATCATACTTATCAAGTTTTAAATTAGTAAAGAATTATGGCTAAATATTATGTTTGAGTCTAAAGATTATAATTTAAATACCAGTTATATATTGTATATTTATATTATTGGTTAATTGAATACTTTACATTTGAAATACTATATTGATTTTATCCAGATAATCCATAAAATTATTAACACTAAGATTGATATTACCGTATTTTTCAAAACATATTATTGACAATATATCATATTAAACTCGTATATATTCGTATCATATTTTTTTCGTATCTGAATTTTATAACCAAATTTTTATAAATATATTTTTTATCGTTTATTATATTATACTCATAAAATTTCTATACCATTTTTTTAGCGTATCTGTATTTACTAATTAGAGTGACACTAAGTCAAGGCCACGCAACTTTCTTCATGTTCATACGGGTGTAATGTCTTCAGGAGATTTTTAAATCCTTTAAAATCAAATTGCTGGTGCATGTCCCACTTTCCAATAAATTAAAGAGAAATTCTAACACGTAAAAATCAAACCAATAAGATTCCAACTAATATTGAAAAGAAAGATGGAAAAGACAGAAAAAAATACAAAGACAAAAGCATAATTGATGAATTGAATTAGCTAGTAAAAGAAATCAGGATCCTGCAGTAATCTACTCAATTTCTGCTACTGAATTCTTGTTTCATTTTAAGCTGCTGGATCACAACCAACATATTAAAGCAGGAATAAGGATTCTCCAATAGAAACCCAAAACAAAAATTGAAGGAAAACCTAATCCAAACCAAATATGATAATCACCAGAATTAAATCAGAAATGAGGCTTACAATTTGTTAATATTNAGTAAAGTATGGCTGTTTAAATTTTGATTTTAAGTCTGCTGCAGAGTAGGTGTAACTGCAGTGCAAACCATGTTTTATATTCAGTTTTTTGTTCAATGAAACAGCATTCCCGTTTGTAACTTTTCTTTGAGTGTGTGTGCCATCTTAACAGCAGTTTTTTCCTTAGAATTCTCCAGCTCCAAAACCTTCAAATATTTCCAGGTTTTATTTTCTGCAGTAATCATTCTGGAATTCTACAACTTGAAATATTGTGGAACTTTCAAACTTCTAAGCTTGGACATAACAACAATTTCTTTCTACTTTTGTTAGTGAGTGATCCGCCATAGATTCCTGGCTTCAGCTTAATGGAAGTTTATTATCTTCACTTTTAAGTCTATAAATCCTGGAAAATGACAGTGTCCCAGAAGATGCAAAAGCTTCAGCATTGCAAACTTTGGATGGTAAAATTGACTAGCAAGTTGTAAGCATGTAATCGGTTAATAAATGAGTATATGGCCTTGATTCAAAACCATGATTCGTTCGCATGAAAATTTAGAAAATCAGAATCAATAACTCAGAAAAGTTTTATGCAACTTCTCCTGCCTTACACTCTGTAAGTTCACAACATATATATACTCTGAATCACGACCAACAAATATAAAATGAATTTTATTAATAAAGAAAGCTCAAATTAGAGGTGTACAAGTAAGAATTTAAATTTCATGCTGATATGCATCTCCGTATTCCCACTCGGCTGGGAGAGGGAGCTTTTTCAGTCTTTCTGGAATTATTAAATACGTCCCTAAGAAACTTCTAAGCTCAGGCATAGCTCCTTCCGCTACTTGCAACTCCTCAAAATATTTTCCCAAAATTACAAGAATTTCCAGCCGACGAAAACCTCCTTTGCTGCACACAAGTTTCCTGAAACAATAAGATTCCTCGGCGAAATAAAGAACTGTAAGGTTCGGCAACTTCTCTAATGTAGGCATGGGGTCATCATTGAGTTTGCAGTTGGTTAATTCTAGGTATTCAAGATTTGGCAAATATGCAGGCATTTCTTCCGGTAGTTTCTCTAGAGCCACACTTAATGTCAATTCTACCAGATTTTCGCAATTAGAGAGTGGTTGCAACGAATGAATTGTACATGATGGAAATTCAACCCGTAATATTTGAAGGGTTTTTAGTTTGGCAATAGAATCAAACGTGAACTCATTTTCTTTTTCGAAACGGCTTTTTATGTGCAGCTCTCGAAGATTAACCAACCCTTCTGGATTAGTTTTAATCCAAGTGTCGACCGATATGCTCTTCAAAGTTTGAAGGTTTTTCATGTTGTCTATCCGATAATCCCCTATAAATTCTCCGAATAGATGTCTCAGCTCTTGCAGTTTACAAATTTCTATTGGGCGGCTACTGAAAGAAATCGAATCTAAACAGTTCAGAGTTTGTAGGCTCACCAAACTGAGAAAAACTGTAGTAAAATCCCCTTTTATGCCCAAATACTTCAAGTGAATCAACTTGCCTATTTCTTTTGGTACAGTTCTAAACCAGAGATGCGAAAGATTGAGCACTCTTAGTAACCTGAAGCTTGATGATATATGCTGAAGGTCATGAAGTTGGTCAATATTTTGAAGGACTGCAGCTGCATGTTTGGCGGCAAAAATTGGTGTTCTGTTGCTGTTAGTTTCTACTGTAACAGCATTTCTTTGTTTTTTATAATGTTTATCTTAGGTGATTCAGCTAGAAATCTGCTATTGATAGGTGCAGATGTAAGTGTGTATTGTGTTGTTAGTAAAGTATGGCTGTTTAAATTTTGATTTTAAGTCTGCTGCAGAGTAGGTGTAACTGCAGTGCAACCATGTTTATATTCAGTTTTTTGTTCAATGAAACAGCATTCCCGTTTGTAACTTTTCTTTGAGTGTGTGTGCATCTTAACAGCAGTTTTTTCCTTAGAATTCTCCAGCTCCAAAACCTTCATTTGGTATCAGAGCCTCTGTGAGTTTTTCAGACTAAACTAACTCTTCAAACACAGCAACTCCCTTAAGATCTCCTCCATGGCAACAATCCAGCACCTCTTTCTCCCCCGAATTAAAGAAAAAGAAAAACTTTATCTTCAATGGTGAGCAGTACCATGTTTGGGCTGTCAAAATGAAGACCTATTTGAGAGGCCATTCCTTATGGCAATATGTGGAGGAAGGAGACAAATCCCTCAACTTGGAGCAAACCCAACAACTGATCAGATTAGGATTCATGAAGAGGAGGTTGCAAGACTCCAAGAGCACTCTCTGCATCCATTCTGCAGTAACTGACCAGGTCTCTCCAGGATAATGGCTTGTGATACTCTAAAGAAGCTTGGGACAGTCAAGGAGAGTTTTGGGGAAGTACCCAAACCAGAAACATGCAGATCCTAAACTTGAGGAGAGAGTTGAAGTGCTCAAAATGCAAGAAACTGAAAATGTCAAGGTATGTGGATAGATTGATGAATGTTGTAAACAAGATAAGCTACTTGGTGAGGAGTTGATGATCAGCGGATTGTGGAGAAGGTTTTGATTAGTTTACCCAAAAGATTTGAAGCAAAAATCTCCTCACTTGAAGACTCAAAAGACCTGTCCCAAATCAGCCTAGCGAACTTGTGATTCTTCAGCACAAGAACAGAGGAGGTGCTGAGGCAAGACAGTTTGAGGAAGGAGCTATGTTTGTAAGTCAAAAAAAGAAGGGATTTCAAGGGGAAAGCGGAGGTACGCTGGAGAGAAGAAGGGAAAGAAAAGCAGAGTAATCAAGGAGGAAAGCATGTGGGTGCAGCAAGAACTTTTGCTCCTTGTCCTCACTGCAGAAAAAGAACCACTCTGAAAATGAGTTGGTTCAGGCCTAGCATTCAATGAGGTCTTGTAAACATTTGGGCACATTGAAAGAGTGTGTAAGAACAAAGGGAATCAGCAGGAACAGCAAGCTCAAGCGTGGAAAGTTCCAGCACTCCAGCAGACAGAGAGAGTTCAGAGCAGCTGTTGTGGTCTCGAATGCATGGTGCAAGCAGCCCTGACGTCTGGTTGATTGACACAGCTGCAACAACCATATGACCCCAAATGCCAGCAATTTCGTGAGCCTAGATGAGGGTTACCAATCCAGGTGAAGGTGGGAAGGTGGAGTGTTAGAGTGAAAGGCAAAGGTGATGTTTCTGTCCAAACCAAAAAGGTACTAAACTCATAGCTGATGTTTTGTTTGTGCCTAAAAAATTTAGTTTGAGCCTACTTAGTGTAGGACAAAGTTAGAAAAAAATTATTCTCTGCATTCAAGGACCTCACTTGGTATTTTTAGAGAGTGATGGGACTGAATTGATGAAGGTTAGAATGCAAGGAAAAGGTTTTCCTATAGAATGGGGAAAGGTGCTTTTCAAACTACTCAGCTAGGATAGATGATTCAGATTGTGGCATAGAGATTTGGACACTTTCATTATCATGCCCTCAAGAACTTAAACACAAAAACCTTGTCCATAACCTACCCGAAATAGACCAAGGTGAAGGATTGTGCAAAACCTGCCAAATTGGCAAACTCAGCAGCCTCTATTCCCTACAAATAAAGCTTGGAGAGCAAGTGAAAGCTCCAGCTTTTGCACACTGATGTGTGTGGTCCAATGCAGCAAACTTCTCTAAGTGGGAGTAGGTACTTCATCCTCTTTATAGATGATACTTCTAGGATGACATGGGTGCATTCTTGAATCAAAAAGGTGAGGTGCTGCTGTGTTTAAAAGGTTCAATGAGGTAGAAAACCAAACAGGTTTGACACTTAAGTCAAGAAGTGACAATGGTGGTGAGTACACTTCACAGTTTGAAGAGCATGCAAAGGGGCTGGAATTTGCATCAGTTCAGCAGTCCATACCACTCCACAACAAAAGAGTGAGTGAGAGAAAGATAGGACAGTGATGGAATGGCTAGGTGCATGATGATTGAGAAAAATTTGCAAAATTTTCTGGGCAGAAGCTGTAACACTGGGATCTATCTACTTAATCGGTTACCCACCAAAGCACTTGACAACAAGATCCCTTTGAAGCCTGGTATGGTGTCAGACCAAAGTGGATCATTTGAAAGTATTTGGAAGTGTGTGTTATGTGTTTGTTCCAGCAAACAAAAGGACTAAGTTGGATGAGAAGGCTGAAGTAGGCATCATGATTGGATACAGCAGCCAGTCTAAAGCCTACCGAATTTACAATCCATGCTCCAAAAGGATTGTGATTAGTAGGGATGTCAAGGTTGATGAAGGAGCTACTTGGAATTGGGAAAAGAAGGCAAGTTGAGAGAAGGATCAGCAGCCAACATGACACAGATCCAGAAATTCAGAATGCGAATTGAATCCTGAAGAAGTGGATGAAATGCCAGTCCGGGCACCAGGTCTTTGCATGACATATATGAGAGGTGTAAGTGTGGCTGAATTGGAGCCTACATGCTATGCGAAGCTGCAAAATCTAAGCCTGGAGGGCTGCAATGCAGGGAGATGAATGTGATTCAGAAAAATCAAACTTGGGAGCTGGTTGATAGGCCACTTGACGAAAAGTAATACAAGTTAAGGATATTTAAAGGAAACTGAATCCTGATGGATCAGTGAACAACTAGGCAAGACTTGTTGTTAAGGCTTTGCACAGCAATTTGGAGTTGATTTTTCAGAAACTTTTGCACCTGTGGCAAGACATGACACCATTCGACTTCTCATGGCAGTGGCAGCACAATTCAGTTGGAAAATCTTCCACTTGATGTAAAGTCTGCATTTTTAAATGGATTGCTTGATGAGGAAATCTACATTGAGCAACCGGAGGGGTATGAAGTCAAGGGAAAGGAGGAGAAGGTCTATCTGCTCAAAAAGGCCTTGTATGGTCTCAAACAGGCCCCTAGAGCCTGGTATAGCAGAAATTAATGACTATTTGTGCAAGCTAGGATATGCTAGAAGTCCAAATGAGCACACCCTTTATGTAAGGGAACAAAGAGAGAAGTGATGATAGTCTCTCTTTATGTTGATGACCTCCTGGTGACTGAAGCAATCTTGTTCAGTGGAAGAGTTCAAAAGAGCAATGAAGATGGAATTTGACATGACGATTTGGGTGAAATGAGCTACTTTCTTGGCATGGAAATATACCAAAGCTTAAAGGGTATATTTGTGTGTCAAAGAAGTATGCAAATGAGGTGCTAATTAAGTTCAATATGGACAATTGTAAATCAGTTGATATCCCTCTGATTCCTAGCCAGAAGCTGAGCAAGGAAGATGGTGCCAAAAGGGTGGATAAGGGTGTCTATAGAAGCTTGATAGGATGCTTGCTGTACTTGACAGCAACCAGGCCTGATTTGATGTACACCACCAGCCTGTCTAGATTCATGAGCAAGCAAGTGAGATGCATTATAAGGCTGCAAAGGGGTGCTACGGTACATTAAGGGACTACTGAGTTAGGAATCTGGTTCAGAAGGGCAGAAAAATTCAGTTTAATAGCTATTCAACAGTGACTGGGCAGGCTCAGTTGATGATATGAGAAGCACTTCGGATATGTTTCTTTGTTAACCATGGTGTCTTCAGTTGGCTCTCAAAAAAACAGGAGACAGTAGCCCATCTACTGGAGCAGAATACTTTCTGCTGCAGCTGCTACAACCAGGCAATCTGTTGAGAAAAATTCTGACAGATTGAGGCTGAATCAAGATGGTCTACCACCATTTATTGTGTAATATGTCAACGGTTGCAATTGCTAAAATCCTATTCTCCAGGTCGAACTAAACATATCAAAATTAAATACCATGCTGTGAGAGAGCGAGCAAAGCAAAGAAATCAGCTTAGTCATTGCTTGGGAGAGAACCAAGTTGCTGATATATGACCAAGGGACTGAATAAGTCCAAGTTTGAAGAATTCAGACTCAAACTGGAGTTTCCAGCATGAAATCAAGGAGGAGTGTTGATCAAATGATATTATGCTGGAAGGTCTGAGTTGGTCATATTTTGAAGTACTGGAGCTGCATGTCTGGCGGCAAAAATCTGGTGTTCTGTTGCTGTAGTTTCTACTGTAATGCACCAGCATTTCTTTGTTTTTTATAATGTTTATCTTAGGTGAATTCAGCTAGAAATCTGCTGTTGATTAGGTGCAGATGTAATGTGATGTGTTTGTAGTTGTTAGTAGAAGGGGTTGAGTCCTGAAAAAAAGTATTGATTTGAACATGGACTGAAATTTCTATCAGGACCACACTGCATCAGCAATATATAAAATGTAATACAGCGTTCTAGCTCAGGTAGAGGCAGTGATTTAAGGTATGCAGATGATGTTCCCATTCAAAATGCTTCAAGCATATTGGTTTGGTTGTTTA